TGCTCACATCACCTGACTCACAGTGACTCCTAGCTCACTGCTCACACTACCTGACTCACAGTGACTCCTAGCTCACTGCTCACACCACCTGACTCACAGTGACTCCTAGCTCACTGCTTACACCACCTGACTCACAGTGACTCCTAGCTCACTGCTCACATCACCTGACTCACAGTGACTCCTAGCTCACTGCTCACACCACCTGACTTACAGTGACTCCTAGCTCACTGCTCACACCACCTGACTCACAGTGACTCCTAGTTCACTGCTCACATCACCTGGCTCACAGTGACTCCTAGCTCACTGCTCACATCACCTGACTCACAGTGATTCCTAGCTCACTGCTCACACCACCTGACTCACAGTGACTCCTAGCTCACTGCTCACACCACCTGACTCACAGTGACTCCTAGCTCACTGCTCACACCACCTGACTCACAGTGACTCCTAGCTCACTGCTCACACCATCTGACTCACAGTGACTCCTAGCTCACTGCTCACATCACCTGACTCACAGTGACTCCTAGCTCACTGCTCACATCACCTGACTCACAATGACTCATAGCTCACTGCTCACATCACCTGACTCACAGTGACTCCTAGCTCACTGCTCACACCACCTGACTCACAATGACTCCTAGCTCACTGCTCACATCACCTGACTCACAATGACTTCTAGCTCACTGCTCACATCACCTGACTCACAATGACTCCTAGCTCACTGCTCACTCACCTGACTCACAATGACTCCTAGCTCACTGCTCACATCACCTGACTCACAATGACTTCTAGCTCACTGCTCACATCACCTGACTCACAATGACTCCTAGCTCACTGCTCACATCACCTGACTCACAATGACTTCTAGCTCACTGCTCACATCACCTGACTCACAATGACTTCTAGCTCACTGCTCACATCACCTGACTCACAATGACTCCTAGCTCATGCTCACATCACCTGACTCACAATGACTCCTAGCTCACTGCTCACATCACCTGACTCACATGACTCCTAGCTCACTGCTCACATCACCTGACTCACAATGACTCCTAGCTCACTGCTCACACCACCTGACTCACAATGACTCCTAGCTCACTGCTCACATCACCTGACTCACAATGACTCCTAGCTCACTGCTCACACCTGACTCACAGTGACTCCTAGCTCACTGCTCACACCATCTGACTCACAGTGACTCCTAGCTCACTGCTCACACCACCTGACTCACAATGACTCCTAGCTCACTGCTCACATCACCTGACTCACAGTGACTCCTAGCTCACTGCTCACATCACCTGACTCACAATGACTCCTAGCTCACTGCTCACATCACCTGACTCACAGTGACTCCTAGCTCACTGCTCACATCACCTGACTCACAATGACTCATAGCTCACTGCTCACATCACCTGACTCACAATGACTCATAGCTCACTGCTCACATCACCTGACTCACAGTGACTCCTAGCTCACTGCTCACATCACCTGACTCACAATGACTCATAGCTCACTGCTCACATCACCTGACTCACAATGACTCATAGCTCACTGCTCACATCACCTGACTCACAATGATCATAGCTCACTGCTCACATCACCTGACTCACAATGACTCATAGCTCACTGCTCACATCACCTGACTCACAATGACTCATAGCTCACTGCTCACATCACCTGACTCACAATGACTCATAGCTCACTGCTCACATCACCTGACTCACAATGACTCCTAGCTCACTAATCATAACATCTGAATCACAGGAAGCCGAAACTTGTTTCTGTATTAATCAATTGTTGTGGGTCACATCCCCCCCCCAAAAAAAAAAAAGGCAAAGCAAAGGAACTAGAAACTATAACGCTGCTAGTTGTATCTTGGGCCAAAAAAAAAAAAAAACAAATGTGTAAAAAAATGAAAAAAAATGCAGGACGTATTAAAATGTTGGATATATGATAACCGCAGTGTATCTGTGAATAATAATTAAAAATATATGTATATGCAAGTTAAGAAGTTTATATTCTAGACGTAGCATAATAACATATAAAATATATTCATATATTCAGTCCTAGGTATTCCGTACTAATGGACATTTGTTATTATATGTATATTTTGTCAGGCTTATTTTGCGCTGTGTACTTCCCAGTAATGGATGTAAATGAGCATTTAATCAAAAAACCTTCATGTACAGGACAGAAGTGATGCCTTAGATGAGGTTGATGAATTATCAAATTCAATTATAACTTTGGGTTGCCAACTGGTAATTTTTAGAGTAATAACACGAAAAGAACTTCAAGTTAACTTTATTATCAGGAGACGAAGGGAGACTAATATAAGTCAGTCTATCTACGATCCATCTATCATGCAAGGGGACCCACATGTTTATCATACATTCAACAGAATCAGCTGACTCTTGGATGTAAGTATTGACCGGTTTCGTCCTGGCTTCAGGTACTTTTGAGAGTTTGCACCACAAATAACTTTACCGACAAAACATTTTGCCTACAGCGGCTTCATCAGTCCAATACAAAGATTACAGTACTGGAAACAGTAGAAGCGGATAAGTAATTCTGAGGTGATCAGTTCCTGGGCCTTGATAAAAGTTCGTCAGTCCCCTTAGTTTAAAGCAGAGGCATTTGGAAACACTTGTCCTTCAGCTGAGGGACTGACCACCTCAAGACTGTCTTCAAGGGTGATGGACTTATTACATCATCTTTACATCTCTACTGCCTCTGTATTCGACTGAAGAAGTCTACTGTGTAGGCGAAAGTTTCAGAATAAAGTTACCTAACTGTTGTACATGCGTCTTATTTACCACCTTTTATATATCTGTGTCTCCCCCTTCCAAATGACTTTAATAATTAATGGCCGATGCATCTTATGGCCAAGATCGTCTCCATTAAGTTTAGTTTGTCTGCGGACAATATTGTCAACGTACTAAAATATTACATAATATATCAAATAGAGTTGAAGATTAAGACACATGTACAACACTTGGGTATCTTTACTGATGAAACATTTCGCCTGCGTAGTAGGCTTCTTCAGTCAAATACAAAGGGAACAGTAGTAATGAAATAAAGGTAATGTAATCAGTCCATGAACCTTGGAGAAAAGTATTTGAGGTGGTCAGTCCCTCAGCCTGGAAAATAGTTCAGTTCTATGGTCTGGGACGATATCGTTCGAGACTATGGAATTATTGGATTTAGAGCAATTTCTGGAGAATGCCTTGCCTGATAGGCTTCAAACTTTCAGTATTAATCAGTTTTATTAAAAGAGTGTTTGGATTTCACTTTCTGTATGCAAATTTTAGACTGTCAATTTTACCCAACAAATTAATTTCCATGTAACAGCTAGAGAATGCCTCTTCTGATCGGCTTCAAACTCTTCAGCTTTGGTGTATTTTAAATGAAAGTATTTTTGTATTAAATCCGTTTTTTACATGCCAGTTTTATAATATTCATTTATCAAACTGAACTTCCTTAGCAAAACACAAATTCCATTATTTTTTCCACTCATTTCAAAGCCCAGCTTTATCTGATGTATAATACCACCCCCAGGATGCGACCCACAACAGTCGATTAACACCCAAGTACCTACTTACTGCTAGGTAAACAGGGACAGAAATTGTAAGGAAACATGCAGAACGTATCCACCCGGGGATCGAACCCCGGACACTCAGTGTGGAAAATAATTTCCCAATATTATGCTGTGTAAATAAACCTGATTAAAAGTGTATTTTCAAAAGAAGAGAATGGAGCCGACAGGGAAACCCTGCGCCTGCGCAGAAGACACTCGCCATTGTTTGTTTTGAATTGAGAGTAACAGACGTTAATTAATAATGTGAAGAATATTCGTGCTCTAGAGGTAAAATTGGGTTGACACCTCTCAAATAGGAGGCGAAATTGTTGGATGTGCATTCCTGCATAACTTGAGATATCAGGCGACTGGACAAGACAGCTCCAGGAACCTCAGATAAGTCTTATGTTGTAACCTAGCCAGTGTTATTTCATGTATAGACAGTGAGGTTTTCTGAGTATGATATTATTATTATTATTAAATATTTGCCGGTATTCTCCCGGCCCGGGCCTTTTCCAAGTGGTGGCCCGGCCTTGGCTCCCTCTTTAGGGAGTGTCTGAGACCTAAGTCTCCCATGGGAGGAGGCACAAGTACCTCCTCATCTTTGGGACCAACTGTCCCCAGGCCTAGCCACAAGCTAGGCCTCTCTGGTCTGCCATCCCCGCCACAAGGGGGCTAATGGGAATGACAGTCTTGTGAGCTGTAAGCTCGGGCTCAGGCACCTACCCTACCCTAGAAGGGTTAGGCATGGTGTCGATGCTGAGTATGATACACATTAATCTCCAGTCAAATTGGTGAGTGTTATGATTAAGATATATTCTCCTTCTGTTATATAAATGTGTGTATATATAATAATTTTTTACTTTTAATATACAGTCCACAAATTTATATATTTACCAGCATTCCTGGTGATACATATTTCATTGGTAATTAATAGGTCCAGAGCAACTTGTGGATATGACAGTGGTAGGTATCGAAGGGGGACACTTTTTGCGACCTAGGTGTCACAAATTCCTACTTGTCTATGTAACTGATAAATAATAATTATCTTTGTTCATTTACTGTTATGTACATAATGATACATTCAGATATATGTAATTTTCCACACACAGTATGTGAACCTTGTGCGCTACCATCCGAGCCACGGGACACTCATATCAGTGAAGAGAATTTTATATAGAACAGAAGTGTTTATAATGTTCAGCAGCTTGATGAAACCTTACCTGACAATGTTTGGTAATACAGATGTGGATGAATGTAGCAATCTCCCCCACGGGTTGAGCGCTCCACCATGAGTAGTACTGATAGTGAGGGTGTAGTAGTGCCATCTAGTGGTGGTAGTTAGAGTTAGTCAGGTTATCAGTGATGGTGTTATAGTGAAGGTCAGGACAGTGACCAACCTTAAGGTCACTAAAAGTCAGTTAACCTTCAATAGTCGTACAAAAGAGATGTGTTGCTCCTCCTCCTGCCATCCCCGCCGGTTTACCGCTTCCTCATACTTTTAATACACTTAAATAACGTAAGTATTGTCTAGTGACGTATCTGTCAGTACAACAGCAGAGTTGAGCTGCGACTCCTGGTCCCCACCACCAGTTTGGTCACCAACTTATTAATATTTTAATAGTCTTAGAGGGGCGGGGATGATTGACCTTAGTGGAGGGGTTTTGATGCGAGGAACTGGAGCTACTCCCCTTCCTCTGATCAAACAATAACTCTCACACTAGGCGTTAAATAACTCGTAATTGTGTATCCAGTTCTGGGCTATTTTTTTTCCATTATTGAAAAATAACTTAGTGAAGGTCTCTTGATCCAAGGAACTTGCGCCTTGTGATCCAGATATAGACTTCCATGTAAACAAATTGTTAATCATCAGGTTTATGTGAAAGAAATATTTATTAAAGAAAAAAGATGGTTTTACTTACTATGTTAAACATTAATGGGTATGTCAGTCAGGCAGTTATGTTACTAGTTTATATTACATGGTAATGTTTGCCTGTAAATGTGTATAATGTTTATGGTTATAATGTGAATGTTTTTTTGTTTCAAGTGTGGTAACTGAGGATTGCTATGTCTGGCTGTGTCTACTGCAACATTGATCAACACGGCAACCTTGACCAGTCTGAGGGGTGGAGACTACACTAGTAAATGGTCTGATTCATAACATTTAGTATTATATGGAGATGCAGCAGTTGGAGACGTCGTTGAGGTGGGCAGGGCCCACTTGTAAGGTATTTCCAGGTTATAAGTCCACTAAAGTTTGGTTATTGAAGCAGACAGTAATAGTATTAGGTGGGAAGGTGGCGGGGAGAGTATAAGAAAGATTGTAAGCAATTGATATCAAAAGTAGCTTAGTGGGAAGTATTAGCTTATCTCACGACCGGAGATAAAATCTCTGGCCAGGAAATAATGAGGAATGTATTCTATAGATTATCTAAAATGGGGTGGAAATAAAAATTGGAGAAATAAGTTGTAAAACTTTGAAGACTGATTAGATTTTAGGAAGTTTTAGCTAGAGTAATATCTTTATTATGTAGTCTATATCCATCCTGCAATATTGTAGAAAACAAAGATGAAATGTGTAAGTGATATATGATGGCTCAGTTGGTAGTGGCGTCAAAAGAAGAACCGAGATTAGATCCCGGACACAAGTGGGCATGTTCCCTTATATTCATTAGCACTGTTCACATGAGGAACGCTGCAACAGGCCTACTGGCCCTGAGCAGGCCTACTGGTAGGGGTCGCATCCTGGGGGAGTATAAATACCCTAATAAAAATGTCATCTTGATTGTGTAATTCTGTATTAATCTACCGGGTTAATAATTATACTGAGATAGTTTAGTGTGGCGAGGGTAATGGCAGAGGTCTTGATGCCGTGTGTAAGGAAAGCCTATTAAATCAGGCATATCCATTATTAATTAAGACATAAGAAAGAAGCACTGAAGCAGCCCTATAGACCCATGTTAGGCAGGTCCACGTCTCAACCACTCGTTTGTCTAACCTGTTTTTAAAACTACACAGCCAAAGTTTTAGCTTCACATGACGGGATAAATTTTCCTTAGGCAGGATATATTATAGCCGGAAAAATCAATAACAGTTACTCAGAATATGAAATTAATCACATCTTCCTATTTTCAGTAGGGTTGTATAGGACCTGGCCAAGTAATTTTATGCTTTGAAGTCCCAAAAATATTTAGTGTTTAGCGCTTACGACTCCAGAGTCTGTATTATAGCATCTTGTGGGGAGGGAGCATTTGTTTTGAAATTGCGTTATACAGTATATATATTTACAGAGACTTTGTGGACCCCTTTGATCTTACCTAGACCCCCTTGATCTTACCTAGACCCCTTGATCTTACCTAGACCCCCTTGATCTTACCTAGATACCCCTTGATCTTACCTAGACTCTCCTGATATCACCCAGAGCTCTTTGATCTTACCTTTACCTCCCTTCATCCCCTCCCCTTGCGCCGCCACTGCTCTGCAAATTAGCAAGGCCTATACCTGGAGCATGTTGCATTATGTGTGTGTGTATGTAAATAAAATACTTTGTAGGTCTACAATTAGTAGAAACTAAATATCAAAATAACTTAGACTTAGGTATTGTTAAGTAGGATAGGTAAGGTATAGAACTGGAGAATCTGCTATATGCATTATGAATGCATATAGCAGGGGAGAGTAATCTCCCCCGAAGGTATAGATTACGTAGAACTGTGGGCCTTGGAACCCACCAACGACCTTCAGAAGCTGTGTGGAATCTGTTATTGCACGTGGTTTCTGTGGGGATGTTGGTGGGTTTCGGGCTTTGGGTAGTGGTTGTGGTGGGTGTTCTACGTATTTTATGCCTTTGGCCAAACTGCTCAAAGTTAAATATTGATTCATTGAGTTTACAGTTTTCTTATTTTGGAAAATTTAAGCGGCGTTCAGGTCCCTATAAATGTGAAAGTACAAGTGTTCAGAATTGCAGTTGATTTGATAGTTTGTAAGTAGTCCAACGCTTCTGGCAGCAGACATTGATGAACATAATGAGATCCTCTGTGATCTGAAGTGAAGTATTAGTCGGCAGAAAGGATTCACTAACATCTGATGAGTGTAGTTAGGGGGGCGATTTAGATTGCTATTAGTGAGGATAGGATTATTAACCCTTGGGTTAGAAACGCAGAAAAATAGAGGGTAGAGAGTGGGGGCGGCTTGAATGTAGTGGTCCTCAGGTTGTGCCCAGGATGCCAGCCATAAGTGGCAGGTAAGGTAGGTTATGAATTCAGGCTAGCATAGTAGTTTGTTAGGAAACTGGTATACGGCAGGCCTCCAACTGGTTAGATAACCCATAGTGTTGATTGTTAGCCTAGTATGTATTTTCCCTACACTTCCACGACCCTCATAGCAATGTTGTCTTAAGATCATTAACTGCCTTCATGATAAATTTGGATGACCTTCAAGGGGTGTCTTTATACTAGTGAGGGTATCTCGATACAAGCAGTTGCAAGTACCCTTCCCCTTCCTTGGATCAAACCTGATAGGGGTTATAAACAGTTTGCCTAATATTCCCCAATGGATGATGTGCACATTTTATTTGGGCAAATTTCCCATAAAATATCTATAATTTTTGTTTTTTTGGGGGGGTGGGGCGGTAAACTGACTTTCATCGACATGTCCCCAATCGGGTTTGATTCAGTCAACTTGCACTACTTAGATTTTTTCCAGTTAGACGTCTATTTAAGGGATATTAGTAGTAGGTTTGGCTCGGTTGTAATGTATTTTACGGAGTTTACCCTCCAACAACAAGAGCACTGGAGACGTGATATTAATAGCCTTTGTGTTAGAAGACTTGTGCACGCGGAAGTGTTAGTGAAGATAGTGTTCATGACTGGAGTGGAGTGTCGCAACACTTAGGAAGCTATACTGACACTACAAACACAAGGTCATAAAATTTAAAAAATGTATCACCTCAAACTACTACTAATGGCAGTATTGAGGCTATCCGCCTCATTACTACTATTGTTAGTAGGGTTGGGGTAGGTATATTTTTTTTTTCTCCCGAGCTTAAAGCTCTCGAATTGTGTGAATGTTATCCTGCTGAAAAATACAGCAGTTGAGACTTGTCTCAGTTATTTCTTTTGTGTGCCTTGAACATTGCTGTGATAAAGAAATAAATTTTAATTTATTACATTTTAATTAATGATCTAAAGTTTATCGAATCTTGTAGGTTGAAGATATTCTCCGTGGGCAGCTGCTGTGTGAAGTCAAGTCCATGTTGTGGGCAGCTGCTGTGTGGTGAAGTCCATGTTGTGGGCAGCTGCTGTGTGGTGAAGTCCATGTTGTGGGCAGCTGCTGTGTGGTGAAGTCCATGTTGTGGGCAGCTGCTGTGTGGTGAAGTCCATGTTGTGGGCAGCTGCTGTGTGGTGAAGTCCATGTTGTGGGCAGCTGCTGTGTGGTGAAGTCCATGTTGTGGGCAGCTGCTGTGTGGTGAAGTCCATGTTGTGGGCAGCTGCAAGTCTTCAGAGATTACCAGCAGCAACACCCCAAAACAATATCTGCATAGGTAAAAGTATGGGCATTACTAGATTATTCGTGAACTGCAGTAAGCAATAGTTTGAATTCTTACTATGTATTTAGAATGCTTCCTTCAATATTTTGTTGAAAAAAAAATTGCTAAAATATTTTCAAAGCTGATCTATCAAAAATTACCACGAAATTTGTAAATTAGCACAAGGTGATGGAACTGGAACAGCTGGAGGTGTCCGTGTGGTGGATGGCAGAGGAATGACTAGTGGCGCCACTATTCTTGACCTCTATGGCTAAATGGCGCCATTGACCTGGTTGCGGGGAGGGGGAAGGTCGTTAGGGAAGGATTCGGGGGTTGGCTGCTGGTGGAGGGGTTTGGGAGTGAGTAGTTAGTTGTTACTGGTGGGAGGGTAGTCACCTGGTAAATACTAAGGGACTAACACTGTCTTGTTACTGTGTGTTAACGTGGCTTGAACTTCGACATTTGAAACGCCCTGGACACTAGCTCAAAGACACTTGTATGCCACATATTTGTAATTATAAATTCTAATGAACATTGTCCTTGGACTCTTGTTGAAAACCGTTTGCTTGATGTTGGGCTTACGTATTTGACATCTCTTGTGAACTTTTTTTTTATATTTTATTTAAAACATCATAAATACAAGGCTGCTTAAAAATTAACTAGCATCACCATACATATTCTATAGAGTACACCAAGATTCACACCATAAATACCAGAAAAAATCTTTGTAACCAATACGAATAGATATATACGACAAACACACCATAAAACGCATACGTACGTTTCACTAAACACACACAATACCAAAAGATATAACTGTTTGCGCAACAAATATAACACTGGTGGAAACCCCACTTAACCCATTATAACCTACATGCACATCATACAAACATGTTACATTGATGATTAAACAATAGTTTTTTTAATTTTGCATACAAAATATACAATTGTTTATAGAAATTCCAACTTAGACACAAATTTCAATGATTTACTCTAACACAAATTCATTAACATAAAAATATTATATAAATTGACGATTTATATTAATCGTCGCAATTTCCATCCATTGTATATGTGTTCAATCTTGATACCCATGAACTACGTTTGAATCACAAACAAAAATCACAACATTACGAAATATTTATAGGATAAATTTGGACGACTCAGGGTAATGTACACATGTTATATCCCTTTAATACTTTGTTGACTCACAGACTAGATTGAACAGTAACAGGGAAGGGAAAAAACATGCATATATAGATATGCAGGTTTGTAAACCCAAATATCTGGACCTATAAAACACAATCAAACAAAATACTAAGAAAACTTGTGACTCAAGAAAAAACGAGTCTTTACACAAAAGGAAAGCTTCAAAAACATAACAAATACTGTAAAGGCACCACTGTCATTTTGTACACAAAAGGTACAGTAAGTAACCCTAACTCCAGAATCAACGAACACACATCCATAACAACTAGAATACATCCATGCCCAATCTCATATTCACGCAACTCACACCTCCCCCCCAAGAGACGATCCAGCTATTGCCCACTGACCTACACGGAAACTTACCCGGCTTGCCCGTATATTCACAAATTCACACGGCTTTCAATAGTTAGCCTTTTATAACCGTCCGAAAAAACCTTATCCCACCTCATCCCATACAATTCCCTATTCCTACACATTGTACGATAAAACGTTCTTGCAAGGACACGCCTTCTCACCCACTTACCCTTTCCCCCTCATTACCCACGAAATATAAATTGTAATCCACGATAATATAAACTAAAGCTCGTCTAAACTTCCTGGTCTAATCCACCGATGTCGAGACTTAAAAGCGCGCAGGACCTGCACCCGCTCCCCCCACCCCCCACCCACTGAACAAAACCCCATCTAACCAACCCCTGACATCTTCTAAACCTTCGCAAAAATAGGGCAACATGAAAAGCCGTGTCTTCTCCGCCACAAAACCCACACCCGCCACCTTCCACGACTCTTCTGGATCGTAGTATTTCCCTGACGGAAATATACCCTGTAAAAA